ATCTTCATTTAAGACATCGTTTAAACCGCCTGAAATTATCACGAGGTTTCGTCTATCAGCTGTAGTTTTGAGTTTTGCGCTCGCTTGCCTCATGACTGCTTCAAGCTTGCGTCCTGGGAACGCCCCTACTGCAACCCTCTTGTCACCTCTTACCCTCTCTTTGATGGCTTCTGTGCATCGATTTAAATTCGAGTCCTGGTGATTATCACATGCTGTGACTTTTCAGCTGGAGCGTCCTGCACCTGGGGGCTACTTGCACCTGTGACGCCGGCTGCTTTGTCCCCTCCCAGCCCCACCACTACCTCGCTGAAGCTGGGCCTTGCGACAGTTGAACCGGCTAAACCTGTTTTTTCCAAACTTGCTTGTCCTTCCTTCTCCACCATTCTGGTTGCCGGTTCTCTACTGTTCTCTCCGTAGGCCGCTTCTTTGTTCAGCTTCGCTAGTGCTTCCTCGGTGAACTTCAGTCTTTCTCCCATTGCCCTCGTTTTCTCTTGCTCTGTCGCCAACGCAGTCTCGAGCTCATCGATTCTCACCAGCAGTTCACTTTGGGCAACCATCATTTTCTCCATTTTTTCCTCGACCTCACATTGCCTACACTTCGCGTCAGCCTCTTCTCCATCTGCTTCTACGCTTGGGTCCACTTTCAAACCCACTCCACATCCTGAACACTTTACAGTCTTTTTAACCATGTCTTTCTGACACCAATTGTCTCTATACTCAATAATTACTAAACTCGAGCCCTGTACTACGAAAAAAAAAAGAAAGTCTAAGCTCTACTACAAAAATTTGCGTGTTCAATGTACGCGCACCTCCCCCACGGGGTGGCAAAAGAAAAAAAAACCACAACAAAATTCAAACACACACACCCGCACTAACTAATAAATACCTGGTGACTGGCCCCCGAAAAAGCCGTAACATAAAATAGTTGCTTATAATTATAAAGACAAGCTCAAAACATGCAAAAACACTTATCTGCGCAGTCGATCCGGAGCGCTCGAAAAACACGTCCATCCACCGTGACAGCCCGAACAGAACCCCATATAGAAGCACCGCCATCCAGCGGACATTCCAAGGACTAAACGGGAGGTGGCACACGCACACTTTCTTACGGCTTGCGCTTCGGGTCCACTTCCCACCTTTAACCACCTCGAGTTCATGGTATATACTAGTTCACTGTATTCATGGCACTGCGGCCGAACGCTCGCTAAACCTTTCGAAAACCAAGGAGGTTACGCCCAGCGAGTATGACGTAGCAAACTTTTTTAGTCAGATAGTGCTCAATGTACATGCCAATGGCTGCTATTGGGAAATGAGAGGCGGAGAATTCAGCTTTTACTTTCTTACGGCTTGCGCTTCGTATCTACTTCCCATTTTCCATTTTTAACCACCTCGAGTTCATTCATGGTATATGCAAGTTCATTGTATTCATGGCACTGCGGCTCAACGCTCGCTAAACCTTTCTAAAGCTAAGGAGGTTACACCCAGCGAGTATAACGTAGCAACCCTTTCTTGTCAGATAGTGCTCAATGTACATGCCAATGGCTGCTAATGGTGATCGCAGCTTGCGCGTTAACTAAAAGCCGAATGCTCCTGTCTCTCATTCCCCATTAGCAGCCATTGACATGTACATTGAGCACTATTTTTTATTGTTCAACAACGCACAGAAGAAGTCTCTCACCGGCACCACCTTGGAGGTCAAAATGTTATACTTGTTACATACTACGGGGGGACGAACGGGTGCCGCTATAAGGAGCTTCGCCCCTAATAACACTGGTCAACAAAGCAACGCCGCTCGCGTGCTCGGGGTTTTTAGACTTGTTTAGGCACGTCATGCACATGTGGCCTCTTGGTCAGATGCCTGAGAAGGTGGGGGAGAGATTTGGCTTGCGAAGGCTACGCGGACGAGCGGCAAGGGTTTTGAGCTTGCCTCCTCCCATCCTCGTTTCGCGCTGTTTCAAACAGCTTGTTTTTCGGCTCGTGATGAACCGATTCAAAAAAATTTTGTGGCAAAATGTCCCTCGTCCTACATCCAACAACTTCCACTGTCTAACTAAAATTTGGTATGGGGCCTGGTGAGTGGCCCTTGAAGGGAGAGGGGAAGCTGCTGCGTCGCTTGGAGTGGCTGGCGGACGCTATCTCGAGGCATAATGAGACTGCTCGTGAACTTTCTGGGAACTAACATCTACCTCACGTTTAGATAACTGACAGCACGAAAGCTTCGGCCATCAGAGTAGTCATTGACCCTTTAGGCAGCGTTCTTTTGAGTTATGCGATATCGGATCTAAAAGATAAAATTTGTTGGTATCACTTACGCTTTTAGCAATGAATGCGATACCTAAAATTGTATTGGTATACCAAATAATAAGGCTTGACGTCTGCGCACTCGCAAAAACTTACTGTACGCGCGGTGTTCGATATCCGGGACTTGGGTGACTAGAGGTCCCCGAAACATCTCTTGCACGTAGTTGCGCGTACAGATGGAATCAGACTTGTCTAGAGCTCCCAGCCAACCGCTCCGGCTAGCGTTTTCTCAATAAATTTGTAAAGAGAGACGCCGTAATGCTACCAAACATGGTCGTACTCTGTGTTAGGCCCTTGTACTGTAATGTAAGCATCAACCGAAGCTTGTAGCTAACGTGAGCTAGAAGCCGCGGCCAACAACAGTGTCGACAGGCGCGCGCTTCGCTGCTTTAGACCAGTGTGATTCTATCCGTTTTAGCACAAACGGTATGTACGAATGGACCTCCGAAACGATGGTGTGACCGAATTGCGGTCAAGGCTCAATGCATAACCTTGTACGGCCGCTCTGGAAAGTGAAGCACTTTTCTCACAGTTTGTTCGCGTTGAGAGTACAAGGTAGAAGGGTATACCAGTCGTGAATAGCGCGTGCACCAGCGATTACACTTATAATCTCAAAGTTTATAACAACGCCCCCCCCTCCCCCCTCGCGTTTCTAGCTCGATCCTTCCTGGCCCTCTCACACGGGCGGCGGGCGCGTTCGTCTCTGCTTAACAACCGATGGGAGGCCTGGCACGCGGGGTGATGTTATCGCATTCTCCCTCAGTGCAAAGCAGATAGGTCGGCTCTTCTTATCTCTGCTTTAGCCGCGTTCGTCGCCCCCGCTCGCGCGCTTTCACCCGCGTGTAAAACACCATGTGCTAGGGGATGTTATCGATTGCGACATTACACTAAACATGACGGCCAGTGCGTAGCCAGGGGGGGTCACATCGAGAACGTGCTTTCCCCCCACCTCCGATTTTTTTTCGACACAGCATATATAGCGCAAAATGATCTTTTGCCTGCCACCCCCTTCAGATCAAGGTGACCCCCCCCCCCCCCCTCCATTTTTTAAATTTCTGGCTACACCCGTGGCAACGGCAAAAATCAGTCGAGATTGTCCATATAATTTCTATGCCATCAAAAACAAAATTTATCTTGCCTTTGTGTTGTCTTAGGCGTATGCATTAGGTACCCTGTGAGATTTTTTTTAATGCAATGCTTTCTAGAGGACACGATAGGGAGTTTTTGTGGTATAGACAGAACGCCATAGCTAGTAAAATATTGCTGCAAAAAGAAGGTTGAGCTTGTTTAATTGTGTAGTTTCAGCACAGAGATCAGTGCCGGAGGAGGTTGACTTTCTGAGACTAGCTGAATGACGTTATTACACCCAGCCGTCTAATCAGTTGTGAAAAAAAAAAAAAAACTTTTTTTTATTCTTGTAGTCATCTTAGGGAAATACACATGGGACTGTGTGAGTCTCTATCTGCTGATAGATCATATCTGCTGATAAATACATAGGTTATACTGTTATTTCATGAAGCAAAACTTCATTCAACCAGTATTCTGTTTATTTGCTACAGAAATAATCACTGAACAAGTTTTTCTAGAATGCTCAGCAGCATGGTGCCATTATTCTTGCATCATCAACTGAAATTGGGAGTGCTTCTAAAATGATTGGCTTCATAAAATTTGCAATGAATCTAAATATTTCTAGCTCTTTACAAGAGCCTCAGAATATTTTTTTTCATCTCCTTGAATGTAAATTCAACTTGCTTCTCCTCCAGGATTTGATCTAGTGGCTAAGGTACTCGGCTGCTGACCCGCAGGTCGCGGGTTCGAATCCTGGCTGCGGCGGCTGCATTTCCGATGGAGGCGGAAATGTTGTAGGCCCATGTGCTCAGATTTGGGTGCACGTTAAAGAACCCCAGGTGGTCGAAATTTCCGGAGCCCTCCACTACGGCGTCTCTCATAATCATATGGTGGTTTTGGGACGTTAAACCCCACATATCAAATCAAATCTATCCTCCAGGATTTGAAGTTAGGTACTCCATATTGCTCTAATATGGAAAATTTTGCAGCTCCAAAGTGCTCCAAAATAGAAAATATTGCTGCTTCAAAGTGCTCCAATTGAAAAATTTTGCTGCTTCAAGGTGAAAGTTGAACGGGTACTCGCCCTCAGAGCAATTTCACGTTTTATGATGTCCCACGTCATTAAACTGGCAACAGCATTTATACCAGAGGGGACACCCGAGCTTTTCCAAATCTGCCCTTCATGGCCCGACTCGCAATACCGACGCCTGTCTAGGATCCCCTCTTTCGAGTGTACCGCTGCCTATACTCGCCTTTCACCATTCTTTTGGTGTCAGAATAGTGGGAAGGCATTCTTCACGACGGGGCCCCCGAGGTTTTCATAGCTCCCCATTTTGTTTGCCCTTCAATAAGGATCGTCATCACCTCAAGGGATCCCCAAAATATCCACGGTGAACTTTATGGAGAGGCACAAACAAAGGTTGTGTGGTCATGTGGTTAGATTAAACCGAGTAACTTGGCAAAGTCGTGTGCCTGCATTTTGCGGCGAATATTTTATATTTTTGTTGTACATTTGTAATTCAAGGCTCAAAATGAATCATTTTCATTGTTGCAAGATATGAATCATTCACAAAGCATTGCCTATATAAGTGCTTTAATTCTTATGCTGGTGTCTTTTTATCTTCATTCAGGAATTTCGCTGCCTGTTCAAAGATGACTGTGAGGTGAACACACGAACACGACGCTTCTGTCAGCGGTGCCGCCTCCAGAAATGTTTTGCGATCGGCATGAAAAAAGAATGTATCTTGAGCGAAGCGGAGAAGCGTGAGAAGCGTGCCAAGATAGAAGAAAACCGCCTAAAGCGTGCATTGCATCCACGTCAAAGGGCACAGCTGTCTGAGGATGACGATGAGGGCCCAATCAAGGTGACGCGGTATTCATCCGAGCAAGCAAGCAATGCAGGGCCATCAAGTGACCAGCCCCTGAAAGCAGACCAGCCTGACTCATGCTGCTCAGACTTGGAATCGAGCAGTTCCGACTCATCGCAGTTGCCATGGCGCCGGCGTGATCAGTGCGGCTCAACACAGGCGGTGCATGACCGGGCCATACGTAGCCAGTTTTACAGAGTGCCAGGCTCAGATGTGCTGACAGAAGCTGAAACGCACCGTATCCAGGAGCTGGCCACGGCCAACCAGGTCCTCAAGGTACCGCTGGCTTGTGATCCTGAACCAAGCCTGGTCGACGTCATCAACATGACGGACCATGCCATCCGGCGCCTCATCAAAATGTCCAAGCGTATTGCGGCCTTCAAGAGCCTCTGCCAGGAAGACCAGGTGGCGCTGCTCAAGGGAGGCAGCACAGAGCTCATGCTGTTGCGTTCTGTCATGTCGTATGACGCTGAGCGCGACTGTTGGAAGGGACCTGATCCACGGCTCATGTCCATTCGCGTGGATATCCTAAAAGAAGCCAGGGGCAACGTTTACGAGGAGCACAAGCGCTTCATCAATGCATTCCGACCTGAGTGGAGACTAGACGAAAACATAATGCTGCTGCTTAGTGCCATCACACTGTTCACGCCGGAGAGGCCCAATCTGGTGCACCGAGATGTGGTCATGTTTGAACAGGACACATACCTTTACCTGTTGCGACGATACCTAGACACCCGCTACTCCGGCTGTGAGAGCCGCTCAGTGTTCCTGCAACTCATCCGCAACCTCGAAGACATGCGCACGCTGAATGAGAACCAAGTCAGCATACTGGTGGACCTAAACCCGCACGAAGTGGAGCCTTTGCTTATAGAGATTTTTGACCTCAAGTAGGTCTCAACTGTGTCATCATGACTGTGGTGGGAAATATTGACCGCTGTGTACATTTACATAGTAACTGCAACTCGCGCTGCTCAATTGAGAACAAGCATGGGAAATGTCAAACCATGGCACTGGTTCAGATGAGGCCGCATATTTTTTATTGCGACCAACTTTTCTAGAAAAAACTTCTTCATAACGCAAAACGCCAAAAATATTCAGCTAAAAACTCAGACAGAAAAATGAAAAATGATATTTTAAGTTCTGTGAGGTGCGTCTGATATGACTAGGGGCGTGTGAACAGTCGAATAACGAATCGAATAGCGTTATATTTGATTGGACATATTGAAAAAAATAATACTCTTGAATAATGAAAAAAAAAAAAACCTGAAATACAAGAAACGTGAGAGGGGTAAGGTTCCTTTGTTTAGGCGTAGAATTGCCAAGGTGCGTGCAGTCCGAGACTTCACGAGATTATCGGAGCTATATTTAGCACAGAATGAAGGCGTTTTTGCTTAACACTATAGGGCTACAGAAGCTACAGAGTAATCAATTTACTATCTTCATCATGACAATAATGAATATGAAACATGAACATTCTTTCAACATTTATATATGACCTTTGAAATCTTTTCACCAAATCCCTCGTTGAATACTGTAGTAGCTTGGGTATTTCAGCCTGCTGTTACCAAACATTTCTAAGGCTGTAGTTGCAGATGTATACGAGCTTGGCCCATTTTACATAATTTTGGTATCTTTGTTTGTTGAAATATAGGATATTCAATATTTACAGAGTCATTCCACTAAGCTCGATCCGCTATGTCGTGTTGAGCACGAACACGAAACCAGTCGCATATCCTAGCCATAAATGTGCAAGTTGCTGACTGTTTATCATCGTTCTGCGATGACCTCGTGCACTGTTCAGGCATCGAGGGACCCTGACATTGCCGGGAACAAGGTAGGACTGATCATAGTTGAATTTATTAATTATATGGACGAAAAAAGTACATACCGACGCGCATTTGTTTCTTCAACAGGGTCGGCACCTTGGGAAGTGGCCGACACATGCAAGAACGCTCTACAACTTGAGTTGTTATTTCTCCTTACAATTTAATTTCTTAGGTGTGGGACAGGTCTGCCATTGTGCGCCGAACTTGCTTACCTTGCTTGCTTACCTTGAGCCATCTTCCGCCGAACCACCCCTGTCGCGCCGAACTCTCCTATCAGCACCGCACTGCGGCTCAGCACCAGAATATAGTCGCAAAGCGCGAAATTCATCAAATGCCGTGCCTGGAAACGAGGTTGAAACATCGCATTTTTGGTTGCATCGACAAAACGGTTATAGTTTCGGTTTCGTAAAGGCTGGGATCATTTCAGGAACAGCTGTGAACTTATATCCTTAGGACGTGGTCGCGATTGCTATGCGCGTGCGATCACGGCAGGCAACCTGTCTACGTGCTGCGCTCTCAGCACGAAGAGACTGCGAGAAGAGCATTTCTTTTTGGCGCGGCTGTATTCTCTTATGGCGCATTCAATCTTGAGAAGCGAAAAGCAACGAAAACGCCAGACTGGCCGGAAAACCATGGCCGCGCGCGTCGAAGATGTTAACATTCGTTCTGCCCCATCCCGCCGCCGCTGCGGTCGATACCTTCACAATTGATTCGGTTTTGCCTGCTTTCTGAGAACTAAAGTTCGTACCGAATTTTAGTTATTCACGCAAAGTATTGAAAAGACATCTCGCACCTTTTCAAACGTTGTTTCTGGAGACAATTCGATTTTGCCCGCTTTCTGAGAGCTAAAGTTCGTACCGAATTTTTGTTATTCACGCAAAGTATTGAAAAGACACATCTCGCACCTTTTCAAACGTTGTTTCTGGAGACAATTCGATTTTGCCCGCTTTCTGAGAGCTAAAGTTCGTACCGAATTTTGTTATTCACGCAAAGTATTGAAAAGACACATCTCGCACCTTTTCAAACGTTGTTTCTGGAGACAATTCGATTTTGCCCGCTTTCTGAGAGCTAAAGTTCGTACCGAATTTTTGTTATTCACGCAAAGTATTGAAAAGACACATCTCGCACCTTTTCAAACGTTGTTTCTGGAGACAATTCGATTTTGCCCGCTTTCTGAGAGCTAAAGTTCGTACCGAATTTTTGTTATTCACGCAAAGTATTGAAAAGACACATCTCGGACCTTTTCAAACGTTGTTTCTGGAGATGAGCCAGAAGAAACGACACGAGCGAAAGCACCAGCAGTGGCGGCGGCGCATTCAGCTGGCTGTACACAAACGCGAGACACGGGGGGGGGGGGGGGGGGGGTGCATGCTGACTCGCTGCCGCTGCACCGTCTGCTTCCATAGTTCTCGCCATTACACCCGCGTTTTGTAGAGACGTGGTATCTGATCTAAAAGAATTGGCTGCCAGCCTTATGATTTGTTTCTATCGCATTCGTGCTTCGCCATTTTGGTGAATTTTTTTACAACTTGATGGTAGCGTTCGGAAAAGAAAAATAAAAAGGATGGCAGTAACGGTGCTCAAAAGTATCAATGCCCTAAAATACTAAACTTTCTGCATTATAATACAAATTATATGTGTGAATTTTTAAAAGATAGAAAGTTTCCAACGAGGTGTTTCTACGTCCAAGTACAGCCAAACTAGACGTGTTCCTCAAGGCTCTGTTTTCTCGCCAGTTTTTAACATTTTGTTAAGTTCAGTATCGCTGTGTGATAAGGCACAAGTATATGTATATGCAGATGACATTGTGTTTTTCGCACATGACTGTGATATTCATTTACTACATTCAACTTTACAGTTATATTTGGCACTTTGGAAACCCGGATTCAAAATATTCATATGAAGCTGAACGTTACTAAATGTGCCATAACAGTTTTTCATTTGGACGTGCCAGTTAATATTTCTAATCAGTACCGCCAAGAAATAATTCCCCAAGTTGACTGTATTAAATATTTATGTGTATTGTACGATAAAAACAGAGCTGGCGTAATGACATTGAACATATTAAAATTAAGGCTACGCGCACTCTTGAGATGATAGGTAGGCTTGACCGCCTCCGTTCCGCTCTTCGCAGAGATACGCTGATCATTATTTACCGCATGTATGTTCGTCTGACTCTTGAATTCGGATGTGTACTATTCACTGGCGGACCAGCATACACAATAAACCCCTCGATTCAATTTTTTTTTTAGAGTCGGAAGCTCTTCGAAGTTTTTTACGTGTGCCAAAATTCACAGCTAACAATGTTTTGTATCAAGAAGCTTGGATACCCACTCTTGCTAGCAGATTTCGTATTTTAACAGTTAAAACTTATTTAAAAATTTCTGGATCCACTTTAAGAAGGTGGCAGTTTGTATTTTTTCCCGAGCCCGGTATTCTTTTTTTTTTTTCAATGAGCATTGGTCCCGTGTATATAAACCTCAAGTGCTGTTTGTCCAAACACTTCAGTATGCTTTGAATGTTGATATATTCGAGATCATACTTTCAGACAAATCAATCGGCCGTGTGCAAATAGAACTTGATGATATCATTCCAACGAATGCTAAACATTTTCCCTCTATTTGATCGGCTTATTATAAGAACACCTGTCCCAATTAGTATTGTAATTGCTACAGATGCATCTATGAGTGATGAGAAAGCAGGTGTGGGTATTTTTTTCTCTCTCATAATTTTGTTCTTTTTCATTACGCCTCCCAGATTATACACCCATATTTGAAGCAGAATTAACGGCTGTTATACTAGGTCTTCGAGAACTTCCGGCGACTCATTCAACAGCTGTGATAGTGACTGACTCGTTATCTGTGTTTTCATTTTTTATTTTATTTATTTATTTATTTTATTTATACTGTAAGCCTTAACAGGCTCATACAGGAGTGGGAAGAAATTATACAGATTGTCATCTTCACATTAGACTAAAAAATGAACACGGGAAAAGATAAGAATGAACAGTACAGACTACTCTAAACAATTACAAATTACAACTGTACATCTAGTCGAAGAACCAAGAAGTAAAACAGAATAAAAACACCACAGGCTTACAGGGAAGAGTGCATATTAGACACAGATCTGAGAATTGAAACATCGAGTGGCATACAAGTCAAAACGTACATTCAATGAAAAGGTGCGCCATTATTCTACAACGCTGCAACTTACTGATCCAAAAACTTTTCAAGATTGGCAGTGAATGATTCGAGAGATTCTGAAGAAACTATATCACGTGGCAGGTTATTCCATATTTCTATTACTGACGGAAAGTAGGAATACTTAAATGAATTGCAACGGGAGATGAAAGGCCTGATACTCTTGTCGTGGTTTGTTCTGGCGGAGCGCTGATATGGTGGTTTCAAGTACTCGTGCTTGTTGATGTTAATGTTGTCATGATAAAGCAGATAAAGAAATTTTAATGCAGCTATGCGTCGCCGGATCGCTAGTGTTTCAATGCTTGCCCTATTGCGGAGCGCGGTTATGTTGACATCTCGAGAATACTGATAATACACAAATCGGAGCGCTTTATTTTGTATTCCCTCCAGCTGGTTAAGAAGGTAAGTTTGATGCGGATTCCAGATTACACTGCCGTATTCGAGGATTGGTCGTACAAGGCATTTATAACTTGTTAGTCTAACTTTGGAAGGGGCTAGAGCGAGTTTCCTGCGAAGCTATCCCAGCTGTCTGTACGCTTTTGTGCACGTCTGGTTAATGTGAACATCCCATTTTAATGTGTTTTAGATGGTAACACCTAAATATTTCACCGAAGCGGCCTCTGCTACGTGTAGTCCATTTAAATGATACGCAAATTTTAAGGGTGCTCTCTTTCGGGTTATATGCATATACGAGGTTTTTCCTGCGTTTATTTCCATTCCCCATTCTTGACACCATCTTGAAATGTTAGTTAGGGAGGTACTAAGCCGTAACTGATCGTCGATCGCTCGTACTGTGGTATAAATGACACAGTCGTCAGCAAACAGTCTAACTGTGACGTCAGGTTCAACATGACAATGAATGTCATTAACGAAAATTAGGAAAAGAATCGGGCCTAGCACAGACCCTTGTGGGACCCCCGAGTAAACGTCTAACTCTTCAGATTCAGCGTCGTTTACTTTGACGTGCTGACTGCGGTTTGAGAGGTAGGCGGCTATCCAGTGTACTATGTTGGTTTCAATCCCGATAATCTTCAGCTTGTCAATTAGTTTTTGATGGGGCACCTTATCAAATGCTTTGGAGAAATCTATGAATATTGCGTCACATTGAAGTCTTGAGTTAATTACGGTAGCAAAGTCATGTGCTATTTCGAGAAGTTGGGTTATGGTAGAGAGCCCTTTCCGAAAGCCGTGTTGTTTGGAGTAAAGTAGGTTGTTATCTTCTAAGTAAGTGGTGATTGCCTTGTTGACTATATGCTCCATTAGCTTGCAACAAGAACCAGTCAGTGAAATCGGCCTGTAATTGGTCACAAGTAATTTGTTACCCCCTTTATGAATAGGAAGGACCCTGGCACGAAGCCAGTCCGTCGGCAGTGTGGCTGTTTGAAGCGATGATACGAAAATTGCATGTAGAAAGGGAGTTAGTTATTTGTTCTGCGTAGCGCCGTAGAAAGGCATTTGAAAGATCGTCAGGGCCTGAACGTTTCTTGACGTCAATCTGCAGCAACAAGTTAAGTATTCCATCATGAGTTATGACTAGTTCCGACATTGATAACGCAGAATCTAGCACAGTTTTGTTTTGAGCAGACGCAGAAGTGCGTGTAAAAACCGACTGAAAGTACCTGTTAAACGTGTTGGCAATA